TGATCTAGAGAAATCTAATGAACAGGAGACTTGAAGAAGGTAGGATCAGCGAAAAATTTGCATATTGCCCAAGCAAGCTCGGAGAAGACAAGGCAACAGCAGGATCAGCAAAAGAAGATGACTGGATCAAGGTAATATCCTTAATGTTAGGAAAAGAGATCACAGTGAGAGGAGAATGGAACAATCAGAAGCAAAGAGGAGACGTCTCCAGTGAGCTTAATCAAAACAAATAGAACCACGACAATTGTGGGTTGGCACGCAAGATACTAGGACACAGGAAGTGATAGACATTATATTAAGATAGAAACAGGAAAGACACGGTTGAGACTAAAGCTATTTGGCTAAAAATAGTCGTGTTTGATCATAGAAGTGATCCTTGAGTCACGACTGTTATTAGCCAACTAGCTCTTTATTCCACTGCTTCTATCCTCTTTATATCTATAAAACCAAGTCTATGACATGCGCTGAGAGTACCTCAAAGCTTACTAACTATTTTGAGCAAGATCTATATTCACCCTATATCTTTTAAAGTGGTCAAGTAGTGGTAGTCTAATTTTTCCACAACAATATGAGTAAGCCTTATGCTTTTGTTAAATTTTACTCGACTTTGTTTCCCAGAAGTTATTCTCATCCAGGGCGTAGGTCTCATTACCATCATCAGTACTCGATCCCGCTTGTGTAGCATACAGTCTTGACATGCAAACCTCTGGGGGTGCTGATAAGATCTAGGCGAGATCGAAACTGAAGTTCAGCCTGGATGATAATACCTTTTGGGAGGAAAGGCTGGGTAAAATTTAAAAGAAACACAACGCTTACTCATATTAAATTGGGAAAATTAAACTACAAGTCCTTTGTCCCCTCAACGAAATGAGGTGAATAATATTCTTATTCCAGATCTACTGGTAGTCTTGCAAACGTACTTATAAAATGAAATTATTAGATCTTTGTTTCTTCAAGCCTCACATTAATTCTTGTTATAATTATTATGATTATCAACCTCCCTTGGCATGAAACAGATACATTTTCTCAGCTTGTGAGCATATATATATATACAGCAGTTGGGGATAAGCTGGAGAGTTTTCACTTACTAGTTATCCTGAATATGTTTGTAAGAATGCTACCATGATTTGATGATGTTCGTCATACTACGGACGAATGCTTAACACGTTCACGCAGGAATCGGAGGAGATTGCATCGGAAATAGCGTTAACAAAAATTTTCCGGTTAGGCCAATCGACAGCTGATCTAAATAAATCCGCCGTCATCTTCTGGTTGGATCGACCTTCAAATCTCTTCACCAAATACTTTCTTCACTCAAAATGGAAATAAGCACAATTCGAGTATAGCCTGTTTTTTTCCTTTATTGAATTTTGTCCTTCACTACCGCCATCCCCTCTTTCCTCTTGTAAGATCATTTGATTATTCAATTTTTATTTTCTACTTCTCTTTTTATCATACCAGTCCTCTTTTGGATCTTTATCTGTCATAATAATTTGAATAACATCAGTTTTCATGTCCAGTTTTATCCCTTACAGCAACCTTTCAGTGACACTTATAACTTCCACTAAAAATCTTTGCTAATTATGCATAAAAACTAGATTTTGAGATACGAAGAGAAACTGGATTTCGATGAATCTCCTGAGATAACATTGTTAGAGGGACCTTCATTTCGTATAAAAGTGCATAAAGAAGAGATTCATCGGTCGATCTCACGAGATGAGGACGGACAAAAT